TTCAGGGGCGGAGGAATTTTTTTCAAGAATTATTTCTTTGAACAAAAATCCCCCATTTTAACGAAATTCGCTATTTAAAAGTAGGTTATTCTTTTATTTTGACAATAGTTATGTGTTACATGATAAATAGAAAAACATGCTACTGTCTTTTGATATCAATTTTATCAGGCTCGGCTGATATGGGCAGAAAGGGCTCGGCAAGCCTCGCCCTTTCTAGCCCATATCAGCCTCGCCTGATAAAATTGATATCAAAAGACAGTAGCATGTTATTCTCTATATATCAGTGATATAAAACTGGTAATTTCACTGTTTGAAACAGTGAAATTACCACTTTGATAATTTCACTGTTTTGAATTTAAGCCCCTTACGTTGTTTCAGTGAAATACCAGCGTGCACAGTACTGGGTACCAACTTAATGACGTGACGTCGTAAATGACGTCACGTTGTATTATTATTTGGCGCGCTTTTCATTCAGTATCAGGCTTAATGTCTTTTTAAAACGTTTCTTTTGCATGTAATAAAAAGAAAATTTGTTTAGTTTAGTGTAAGATCGAAATATATTTCACCTTGTGAACACCAAAAGTTCATATTTCACTCGTGGCTGCGCTACTCGTGAAATATACCTTTTGGTGCTCACTCGGTGAAATATATTCCGATCTTACACTGAACTAAACAAATACCCTCTATATTATTCTTGTATGTTTGAAAATGACGTCATTCTAGTGCGTTTATGAATGAGTTGTATACGAAAAATATGACGTCATTACGCTGCCTACGGGACTGGCGCCGTTTTCAAAAACATTTAATAACTGATATTGATCAATATGTGGCGTTAGTGTATTTGAGATATTATTTCAGTATTGTATGAAAAGAAAACATTATAAGAACTGAGAATATCAATGAGTTTTATTGTTGCTTTAAAAAGGCTTTGTATAGTATATAATCGAGGGAGATATAGAGGATATTTGTTTAGTTCAGTGTAAGATCGGAATATATTTCACCGAGTGAGCACCAAAAGGTATATTTCACGAGTGGCGCAGCCACGAGTGAAATATGAACTTTTGGTGTTCACAAGGTGAAATATATTTCGATTTTATACTAAACTAAACAAATTTTCTTTTTATTATATGCAAAGAAACGTTTTAAAAAGACATTAAACCTAATACTGAATGAAAAGCGCGCCAAATAATAATACAACGTGACGTCATTTACGACGTCACGTCATTAAGTTGGTACCCAGTACTGTGAACGCTGGTATTTCACTGAAACAACGTAAGGGGCTTAAATTCAAAACAGTGAAATTATCAAAGTGGTAATTTCACTGTTTCAAACAGTGAAATTACCAGTTTTATATCACTGATATATTTCTATAAACCACCGAAAAGCATGTAATAAAACATAACAACCGCATAATTATACAAGTAGTCCCTACCCTATGGAACGCCGTGACCGTCTTATGTAATCAATGTTTTTGTTATCTTGTGAAACGATGATATTATTTTGTCGTTTGAGCATGTTAACATGTGCAATATACATCATGCCTTGTCAAAGGAACATGCTGACTTGTACAAACAGCATGTAAACTTGTCAAATTATTATGATGACATGTGCAGATAACATGTTGACTTGTAAAAGTATCGTGATGACTTGTGCAAATGACATGGTAACTTGTCAAAATGTAATGATGACTTGTACAAACGACATGTTAACTTGTGGAATTATTGTGATGACATGTGCAAACAGCATGTTAACTTGTCAAAGTATAATGATGACTTGTGCAAATGACATGGTAACTTGTCTAAGTGTCATGATGACTTGTGCAAAAGCCATGTTAACTTGCCGAATTATCGTGATGACATGTGCAAACAGCATGTTAACTTGTCAAAGTATCATGATGACTTGTGCAAACAGCATGTTAACATGCCAAATTACCATGATGACTTGTGAAGACAACATGTGAACTTGTCAAAGAATCGTGATGACTTGTGCAAATGACATGTTATCTTGTATCATGCTGACATGTCAAAACGCACTGTTAACTTGTCAAAATATTATGATAACTTGTGCAAATTCCATGCTAACATGTCAAAATTCCATGATGACATGTGTAAACAGCATGTTAACTTGTCGAATTATCGTTATGACATGTGCATACAGCATGTTAACTTGTCCAAGTATCATGATGACTTGTGCAAACGACATGTTAACTTGTCCAAGTATAATGATGACTTGTGCAAATGCCATGCTAACTTGTCAAAATTTCATGATGACATGTTCAAACAGTATGTTAACTTGTCAAATCATCGTGATAACAAGTGCAAACAACATGCTAACTTGTCCAAGTATCATGGTGACTTGTGAAAGCGACACGTTAACTTGTCAAAATGTCTTGATGACATGTGCAAACAGCATGTTAACTTGTTCAAAGGGTATCGTGATGACGTTTGTGAAAACTCCCATTCTTACTTGTCAATGTATGCATGAATGACTTGTGCAAAATGCCATGTTAACTTGTCAAATTGTCATGATGACTTGTGCAGACAACATGTTTAATTTGTCAAAGAATCGTGATAACTTGTTGCAAAACACATGTTAAACTTGTTAAGGTATTATGAACATGTCATCACGATAATTCGACAATTAACATGCCTTTTTGCACATGTCATCCATGAAATTTTGGAAAGTTAACATGTCCGTTTGCACAAGTCATCATGATACTTTGACAAGTTTAACATGTTGTTGTGAACAAGTCATAATGATTATCTGACAAGTTAACCTGGCTGTTTGAACAAGTCAGCATTGTCTTTTAGACAAGATATGATGGTAAATTACACAGTTAATATGCTTAAATGACAAAATAATATCATCATTTCACAAGATAGCAAAAACGTTGATAGCATAAGACAGTCACGGCGTTCCATACTATCCAGTGTTTATTGTCATTTTAACACCGTTATTTTTTTCTTTGTCTAAAGTGACAAAATCACGAGGAGTGTTAGAATTTTCAATAAAGAACATAACACCTTTAAATATTTAGAGGATATTTTTTCGTTTGAAAGTAATATTGTGAAATAGTATAAAATTGGTTTGTATGCTAGCATTAAAATAGCGCTTTTATTTTGACCGTTTTTGCACGCGCTGTTTGGCGCTACATTATGACGTCACGTAAACAACAATTTAAACGTCTGTACAGCGTTAATGACTGAATTGAAAATATTGGTGATCAGATTTATTTTCTTAGTTAGACCATTGTCTATCATTCTAGATTGTTTTCAGAACAAAATTCAAAAAAAATTGTTTTTTATTGATCAGACATTTTTTGGAAATAAAATGGCACCGCCAAAAAGTCCGTTTGAAAATACAGAAAAAGAGTAGATCTAAAGAACGGCGAAATATATCACGCTTCTGGCATTCTTTATTTATATCACAGAAATCTCCGATAGTGTAAAAATATTATTTAATCTAAAGGATTCATTATATTTAGTGATAATGAAGTGAATAACAGAAGAAATGACTGTCAGAAATGGAGCTGAAAGAAACATAAGAAAGAAGTCCCTTAAAATAAACATGAGTTTTGACCCGCCCGATTTCATATTTATATTTTATATTTATTTTACACAAAATTAAATATGAAATATATTTGACTGATATAGCAATATATATCAAGGGTAAAATCAAATAAACAATCATATACATCATAATAGATAGAGAATAATAGGTTGGTGCCGTGGATGGAGAAAGTTTATCTGGCGAGGCGGAGGAATTTATTGGGTGAGCCGAAGGCGAACCAAATAAATTCCGGAGCAGAGCCTGATAAACTTTCTCCATCCGCGGCACCAATCTATTATTCTATTTATCCCGTCACCGTTTTTTTAAAGAATTTTATTAGGCAAACTACCTTTAATCACACTGTCTTAAACGTTTCTATATAAACAAAGAAGGCCCTAATTATTCTACAACAATGCACTCGCCGTTCTTATTATCTCCCTGTGTATTTTCACATTGAGGGCGCCATTTTGTTTGTAAAAATGTGATGAATAAAAACAATTTTTTGTAGAATTTTGTTGTGAAAACTATCTAGAATGAAAGAAAATGGTTTAACTAAGAAAATGAATTCGAACACCAATATATCTTTTATTCAGTCGTTATGCACCTATCAATATTATGCCCGCCCGGGGGGGCGGCGGGCTGACCCAGGGGCATTTGACATCTTAAAATGTTTGAAGTCTAAATCCCCACCCTAGAGACAACCAATTTTGTCTAAATCCCCACCCTTGAGCCTGCTTGGTGCATCAAATGCCCCGGGGGTAGGGGAGGGGGTAAATATCTAATAGATCAATCAATAAATAAAACTGTTATCAGAAAAACAATGAACAATATAAGTACAAAGGCTTATCATGAGGAAAATAATGAATCCAGATTAATGGGCCTCAGAAGTAAGGTAGGTATAGTCACTCCCAATGAGTATATATGTATCAATTGTAGTTTAATAACTTTGATAGTATTTAAATAATTAGACTTTGAAGATACATATATTTTTTTTATAAAAATGGGTATTTTCAAGTAATAAAGGGGCATAATTCTGAAAATAATGCATCAAGGTTATATACCTTCTTAGTATGGTAGTGGTAGTCCCACTAAATACTGTACCTAGTTTCAATTAAATATCTTTCATAGAATAGAATGTATGACTTAAAAAACTCAAACCAATGCGGACACAGACACACAATCGATCGTATAAGCTCTTTAATATTTTTACTTTTATAGTTTAGCTACAAAATAAACCTACTAACCTAGTTTCTGACTCCACATGACCCAGTTTCTGTAGGGATGGTAAGCATGCTGACCAAGCTTAATTATAATTGAACCATATCTGTGGCCTCTTGGAGTGTTAAAACACTAAAAGTTGAGGACACCAGATTTGCGAAGACAGACATTCACCGATCACGACCACAATAGCCTCGTGCTCACAGCTCAGATGAGCTAAAAACTTACAACACTTTAACTTCTTATTTTATTTTAACATTTAACACAAAAAGTCATTAAAAAAGACATTCTTCCTCCTCCTGCGGCCAAACCTGGAAACTTCCACATTGTTTTTCTGAAATAGAGGGCATTTTTATAATCTTTAAGGTTTCAAATTTATTAAGTTTCATTTAAATTAGTACCAAAAATGTTCTAAGATTTGACCTAGTGACTTAATTTTTGACCCCTCATGACTTAATTTTGAACATGTTCTAGATTTCATAGAGTTGAACATTAACACTAACTTTAATTAAAAATGGGCCAAAAATGTGGCCTCTAAAGTGTTTGCATTCTTTTTCTAAGATTTGACCTAGTGACATAGTCTTTGACCCCACATGACCCAACCTTGAACTTTGCCGAGATTTCAGCCAAACATTTTGACCAAGTTTCATGGAGAAACGACAATAATAGCTCAACACAAAGCTACAAAAAGAAATGACATAATTTTCTTAAGCTAAGTTGTATGGTGTACTCACAATCTGGTGCACTTTCCTCAAGAACCTGGATAGGAGCAGGAGCCTGGATGGGAGCTTGATATATAGGAGCTTGAACCTTGATAGGAGCTTGGGCCTGGATAGAAGCTTGAACCTGGATTGTTTAAAAATTAATAATTTAGTAGCACAACTTAACAAAGATTTCCAACATATATTTTTGATAGATAAAACAGTAGGTTGTTTTAAATTCTATTGGAACAAAACTGGTACTGAATTTTGTTTTTTGTTTGTTGTTTTTTTGAAAACACATTATTTTCTAACAATTCTGCTGGTACTAAGTCTATCAAACTAATCTTGCAATTATGGTGGAGAATCACGTGATATGGAGACCACATGACATGGTATTGCAGCAATTGATAATCTTTCAGATTCTGGTGTCCATGTGAGAATTTTTGTCAATATCTTTGTTTAACAGAAAATATTTTGGAGTATGCGTAACTGACAGGACTTGCAGTAGCCCCCAGTGACATTATAAACAATATTATGCTTTTTCAGGAAAATCCACTAATTTTAAGTTTAAAGGAACATAATGCTTGTGTGAGTAAAATTTCAATTACTGAATAAACATATCATACTTATCCTCTTATTGAAGAAAATGGCTCATTTCCGCATTACTATTCTTCAGAAATTATTTTTTCATCCAAACATACCTCCAAATATTACATTTGCGCTACATGAGTGCAATATATTTATAGCGAATTTTGAAGATTTTCTTTCATGTCTTTAAGAAATCAAATGCAAATATTTACATCAGAATTCTACTTGATGTCATTGGTGTGAAACTGAATACTCTTTTATTTCAAATAAAGTTTACAAATGCATAATGGGACTTTAAGATACCATGTTACGTCACAGGTCACCATATCAATGATTCCCCACCATGTCAATGATAAAATACACATATTTAGACCACAGAAGTGCAATACCCCTTATATGTTTTGTATGGCTTTCAGAAAAAAGAGTTTTTTTGGCCTCAGACTCATTTAATGTTGAGGCAATCATTTATGAAATTCAACTCATAATGTCATTGTGCCTGAATACCTTTTTCAAAGACCGTGTCTCGGACGCCTTTGCCTTGCCTCTTTTTCTTTTGGCAGAAACACTCGTCAAATGGTCCAACCAAATGTTCACCTGTTTAAATATAAATCAACATTTTAATACATTCACATTTATCAGATAAGAACAAAGCCTTAATGATAAAAAACAATGATGGTAATACATCTGAAAAAAGGATATTATTTTATTTAGATCTGTTTTGACATACATTGTATTTAAATGCATTTTCTTACTTTATTAAAAATCATATTCTAACAGAGACATAGATAACAGAGATAGGCTTCTTCCTAGCCAGTTAAAATACCACGCGTGCCTGCTAAACTTAAAACTTGTAGCAAGTAAAACTTATCAACCAGATATCAAAATCAGTAAAATAATACATTTTCTGAAAACTTATGCATTTGTCTATTGCTGCAGCCTGCAGGTTAAAATATTTACAGTTCCCATTAAAATAAATGTTACATCATTTTTTAAAGAGAACATCTTGATATTTATTGTTACAAAACTATTCATATGACAAAAAAAAATGGCTCAGTGGGTATGTTCTGCCATGTTTTTCTAAGGGAAAGGCATGGAAAGTTACCAATATTTTAACATACAGTCATAGATGAAAGATTTACCTTTCAAAGAAAGGGTATATAATATTTAAGGATCAAATGTACATCCATTAAGTTTTATTTGCTACAAAATACCTAATTTTCCACTTTTTGATAGGCATGAGTCATGATGAGTGATATTATAATGGGAGTATCCGTTTTGTTTCACTTGATCAGATCATTCATACTGCAGTTAAAGGGATTATCTCAATCGATACGACATTTTCTGCTGTAATCGTTTATATTCTACAGGCAAAGTGAACGTTCTTTTGTGGATTTTGTATTATTAATACGAGATATGTGTCAGTTTCATGTGATTTCCAACGCCTTGCAGACTCGCAAAATAAATGGGTCTATTCGCGAAAACAGATGACAAACATGAAAACCGCTAGGCTCCACATAGTGTCTGGGTAGAATACAAATGAAGAATACAATCCCTGTATACCTTTGCAAATAAATCCTAATTCTGGGGCAACCTTCTCGCCTTTATATCACACAATTTTCTCTACCGTAGAAAAACTCGAAAAGTTTCATGTCTGCAACTTCAAAAACACGAATAAAAATATCGCCGTCGTCTTTTGACCTTTCGCAGTTACTCCCCTTTTTTATTTTGTGGCGTCGAAATTCCCGAGTCCCGGGATTTAAAAACCGGCCAAAGTCTATTACCCGGGACCCGGATTCCATAAGTTTGTCAAATTCCCGCCTGTCAGGAATGGTCTTCTGTCTAAAGCCCCGTGTATGCCCGCCGCCCCCCCCCCCCCGGTAGGGCAAAATATTGACAGGTGCATTAACGCAGTACAGACGTTTAAAGTATTGTTTACGTGACGTCACAATGCAGCGCCATACAGCATGTGCAAAACAATTAAATCAAGTACGCTATTTCAATGTTGCAAACGACTTAAGTTTCACATTTATTTCACTTTTAATAATTTTTATTTCGCTTGAAAAATTATAGAGTGAAATAAAATAAACAAACAAAGTTTTGTCAACGTTTCCAAAATTCGTTATTCTACACACAGAAGATTTAACGACAGTTTTTATATTTTTTTCTTGAAAGTAGTCTGGCAAACATGCATACCACGTGATCAAGTGCCGTAGATCAGTAAAAATATACGGCACCTTGTTATCGGGCCGAAATTGATACAAGTGACAGGATAAATAAATCTAAACTCCCTTGGTCTTGTAATATGCAGAGGTAAAATAGCAGATAAATGAAAAACTCGATCTCCTCTCTTTCAAACATGTATAACAGGCTTTATAATTTATTAAATTGTTATGGTATGTGACTTTGTATCTTTCTAAAATGAAAGACAGTATTGATTTTTCAAAGTATCGTCTCTTGTGGTATTTACTGCTCGTTCCTGTCTATGAACATGTCTATGTCATGTACAGCGCGTGTGGTTCAAGTCTTAAACAAGGCCGTCCACGGGCAGATGTGCAGCGGACTATCAATCTATCTCAAATTTTACAAACAATTAATTGTTTATACTGAAAATCTACAAAATTAAAATATTCGTAGTGGCATCTGCCATAATAAATAGAGATATTTTCTGCGTAAACTTGTGTGTTTACTTTATTTATAGTTTGCTCGGAAATATTCATAAAATGATAGGCCTATTTAATAATTTTCTTAAAAAGAAATAATTGTTTTATGTTCGACCTTCTACGGTCTTCAACGGTCACCAGTTTTCAAAGACCTTCTTCTATTTTGATCGTTTATTCAATTGTCAACTATATTCCTGATACAAACGTTTATTTATCTCTCCCCCCCCCCCCCCCCCCAAAAAAAAAATAATGTTGAAAATAGTTAAATGAAATATCTTTATATCATTAAAATGTTCACCGCAGGAAACCATTTTACTTGTATATATTAGTGCGACATGGCGTGCTGTATCATGGTTTTGATGGAGAAATATAGAATCTTTACAACATCTGTATCAGGGCATGTCGACATAACTTATGTCTATTATAAAACAGGACGGGACCATTTGAACGTCATAATTTTTATTCGGAAACTAAATCCCGCCCATCGAGTAATGACTATATTACTGTGCAACTATATCGTTGAGTTTATTTATAAACTAAATATTTAGAATCGTCCTTTATTATGAAAACAATGTCGACTATATAAAAGTTTATCAGTCTGATGTTTAATTTGATCTTAATGTGTCAATTGAGTTGATATTTTACAATACAAGCTGTGCATTTCGTTTAATAACCATACTGGAAATAAAATAAGTTAAATAACTTAAAAACCCTTTCGTCGGACACTTTTGAAGATAAACATTACAATTAGTTTTATGCATATACATGTATACTCACATTTAATGCATTTTGTAGACTTGTATTTATCTGGTTGTAGACTTGTATTTATCTTGTTGTAGACTTGTATTTATCTTGTTGTAGACTTGTATTTATCTGGTTGTAGACTTGTATTTATCTTGTTGTAGACTTGTATTTATCTGGCTAGCAGTAAAACCAGAAACATATATCAGTCAGTGTTTGATATAAAAAACGTACTGATATGCATTTACTACTGAAAAGATATTCGGATACCATTGGAAGGACATTTCAGTTAACAGCCAAATTTACTGTTTTGTTTTTTTTATATTGATAACTTTGCAAATGACTGTATATCGGTTAGGTATATCAACAATGTATATGACAGTAAAATGCAAAGAGGCGGACGTTTGAATACATTTCAATGTTTTCCTGTAAACTATTCTGTCAATCTGTATGTGAATCACATATGAGCCACGCCACGACAAAACCAACATAATGCGTTTACAAACCCTATAACAAGTAGAGAAACTGATAACGAACAGCGGATGCGCAGGCTGGTCTGGATCCATGCTGGTCGCAAACCTACTATGTTGGTTTTGTCATGACGCAGCTCATAGATATGTGTGCCTATTATAAAGGTTGAAAACGTCAAATGTAAATTAAGTACAAATAGGTTCCATCAGAGGACTTAGCTATCTCGTGGCCACGACTTAGTAACTCGTGGCCACGACATAGTTACTCGTGGCTACGACTTAGTATCTCTTGGCCACGACATAGCTATCTCGTGGCCACGACTCAGATATCTCGTGGCCACGACTTAGTAACTCGTGGCCACGACATAGTATCTCTTGGCCACGACATAGTATCTCGTGGCCACGACCTAGCTATCTCGTGGCCGCGACTCAGCTATGAAGCTAGGAAGAGTGATGAATTAATAATTTTTGAAATAAGATATTGACGCGGAATAAAATAACTGTTTATTTTACAAACGAGGCGCATAGTACCAAATATTACAAAAATATATAGGAAAGTTTGATCATCGTGTATATCCAGTAACGCCAGAATGTGAAAATAACGCACGATCTATGCAATAAGTAACGCAGAAATGTGCAATAAATGGCGGATACCTGGCAGGATTTCCAATGCGGTAAGATAACTGGCCAATATATTTTTATTAAAATCAATAGCCGCATACGGCTGCTAAGTCATAACTCTTCATTCGTAATGAAAATTATTTCCACGAAATTCTTTTTTTTCAAGATCATTTGTGAAAATGATGGCTTGACCACCGTTTTGAGCGAGATTTTGGCTTTTAAGTACATTAATGCATATTATTTCGTATAATTTAGATTTTCAGTAGGCAAGTGACAAAAACT